AATAATTATTTATTATTTAACAATATATACTAGAAATCCTTGGCGAACTTCGTATCGCCCTATAATCAAGAAATATCTATTACGTTTTTTTATTTATATTTTTGGAGTTTACCTGTAAGCCATAAATCTCCGTGTTTTGAAGTGCGACAGAATGATTGACTTATTAGTTAGTTGTCAAATATAATGTCAAAAAAAAACGTTTGTATGGGAAATAGAAAAGGGCTGTTTTTATGGTTTTCCCAGTAATGAATCATTTTTTTTCATCTTTTAAACCTTCCCTGAACCTCCACGAACATTTCAAGACTATGATCAGATAAATCCGTTCAGTCGTTCTCAAGTTTTAGTGAGACCAAGGAACAGCAATTCATTTTTATATATATAGATTGTATATATTAAAAATTACTTTTTTAAAGAGGGAGACGCCAGCCTCGCTGATGTCACTAATGTCACTTCTTCCAGTACATTTCCTGATATTTTACAATAAAACTTCAATTATTTTAAATTTCCTTGTATTTCGCGAAGGTTCCTCATAATCACAATCGCACTCAATGAACTCTGCTATCGTGCGTCCAGACGTCATATTTATATCAACATTCAAATATTCTATTTTCCTTTTAAAGAGTCTTTGATTTCGTTTTACTTTTTACAATAAATATGAATACTAATGAGTTTTTATAATAATTAATGACAGGCTAAAGTTATTTCCACGTGGCATCCGTTATTAATGCTGATAGCGTCAATATACATATATGTATATATTTCTATTTATGTCCTTAGACGAGGATCTCATAAACCTCATTGCGATATTTAATGAAGATAGTTAAAAGAGGGATATAAGAAACTAATATCCAGAAGTTGTCCCGATTCGAAAATGGCTGAAACATAAAACAGTTAATTTAATTTTTATGTCTTGAGATCTAATTAAATGTATTTTCTTCAAGTGAAGCGGTAATAATAATTATTCGATTGTCTTTCTGTATATTATTTTAAATTATAAAATTGAATACTGCATGTTCTATACTAGTTTTCGTAGTTTTTTATAGATATTATAATTGAAGAACTAGTGCCTATAGCTTTTACTATTCGATAATTAAAAAAATAATAATAACTTAAAGGAAAATATATATGATAACTAAATTGGATGAATAAATGAAATATTTGCCCTAAAAACTAAAAGATTTTCACAATTGAATATGTGAGTACAAATTTTTACCTAATGGAAAAACGGGGTTGGTGAAGTTAAAGTGACATTTATTGTAAACATCTGAAATACATAGCTATAAATGATTTTTTTGTTAAAAAAAGTAATATTAGAATATATTTTGATAGTAAAAATGATAAACCTATAATAATAATGTTTAAATTTTCGTATTCGGCGAATTATATTTTAGAAACAGCTTGATTTTCAAAGGTGAAGGTTTCAAAAGTGTAGATTTAAATGATGTATCTAATTAACTATGTCATATATTAAGGTCTGAAGTTTCTTTTGTAACAATTTTCTTTCGTAATTTTTCGTAATTTTTCGTATCCTTATCGATTTTTGAGCTATTAAATTTGAGAGAATAATCTGAAAATTCATGTAGAGTTATATATATAGTATAATAAGTTGTAAAAATAATTTAAGGACTATGATACTTACAACATACTTTTACACCTAAAGGTCATGGTAGCCTAGTAGTTAAAGGCCCGCCTCTCGTTCGGGTTCGAAACCTGGCAAGTGCCAATGTTATTTTTCCGAGTCATATGTACTTTATAAAGTATTTAGAACTCAATGACAAACGGTGAAGAAAAACATCGTGAGGAAACCTGGACTTATAATTTCAAAATTATGAGTTTGAAATCACCAACCCGTCTTGAGCAAGTGTTGTATTAATGCTTAAATCTTCTTCTTGTGAAAAGAGGCCTTTGCTCAGCAGTGGACTCTGATAGGTGGATGATGATACATACCTTTATATATAATATATTTATACAAACCAGGAATTACTCTTATTATTTACACTGTCTAATCAGTAATCGTTCTGATACATTAAAAATAATGTATATATAATGATGGCATTTATTTATAACATATATAGTAATTGTTATTTTCATATAGTATTTATATGTGGTAGGCGAGTGCATCTTGTTAAAACTTAACCGCTTTTAATGATATTTCCGCCCTCGAGAGGCTTAGTACTATGAGTGAGTCGATAAACATATTACTACAGAATACACACTAACATTATTGAATCAGGAACATAATAATAGAATTATTTTGTATTTTTTATAATGATATAATAACTATTGGAGCCACAGCCAAATCTTATTTTAATATTTTATTTATGAAATGATTTTTTTCATTATATATGTATATAGATAGATTCTTCTACAGTATTCATTTTAATGATGTATTATTAGAATTTGGTTTTTTAAGCTGAACAATGTTTTTTTTAACCTTTGTAGAATTATTGTAATATAACGACACTATTTTTAAATTAATTTATTAAGCTCATCTATTTAAAATTACACCCACAGAACAGTTAATATAAAGATTATTTCTATTGTTCTCTTAGTAATACCTCTAGAGAAACTTATGTTTTATAATATTATTTAATTGATGTTGATTTAATAATTATCAAGATTTTTCACTACTAGTAAAGTTTAAAACAGAAAAAACTTTTATGTATGTATTGTTTTCTTCTTCATGACTACAAATATACAGTTGCAATTGCATGAAGTGATTGGATGAAATACCGAAGTAGAAATTATTTTCTATCTACAAATGTTTGAAAATAACTGTTTTTTGATTATTTAAAATTCATTATTTTAACGTTTTTCTTTTTTATTAGTGTGATATAGATCTATGTTGTGAGTACTTTAGTTATTATTGTGAGATACTTAGTAAAAAGTAACATTTTAAATAAATATATGTACGTGTATTTACCGAGAAATACTTCCCACACAACTATCGTGATATAAAAAGCTTGGTGGAAAATATCGTACGCTTTGTCGCTAACAAAAGTTTTGATATGAACAAAACTGGGCTATATGAAATATGGCGTGATATCCAAAATGTAATATCTGTGAATGTTGGTTATTATATGAATTGCTCCTTATGTTAAATGTTACGGGGAAATGTAATAAAATTGCATTTTCCATATGAACACGCTAGTTCTGAATGTATTTCTTGCGTAATAGTGGAAAAAATACATTTTTATATTCCAACACTGTTGCTCATTAAGCGCCTCTAGCACGGTTAAGTTCAAGGTTTTTTAAAGATATTTCATTCCCTGCCTCCGCTTTGATCTGTCTCCATAATGGAGAAGATTTATTAAAAATAAAAAAAAGAATTCTATATGTGTTGCAAAAGAAACTTATTCAAAAGGAATAAATCGCATATATTTGTAAGCTGAATTATTAATATTATTCAAATATTTAATAAGACATGATTTTTCATAATAAAAATTTATATAAATTAGAATTAGAATGATACACGAACGAAAATGTATAATAGGTATAATATTTTTAAAATGTCTGAAAGATTGTTTTCTATAAAATAAATCTTTGCAACACCTTGTAGCAGCGAACAGATTTTTAAAAATTAAAAAAAGTAATTTAGTATTGCATTTTCATACTGCATGTTAAATAGCAGTTATTCAGTTTCAAAGACCTTAATGAAACGAGTACAAATGAATAAATAATTATGGTTCAAAGTGTGGCTAAAGAAAGTTCCGCAAAGACCACTTGGCCAGTTCACTCCTAGCTTCTGATATTCCATTAAGGAAATCGTAACAAAACTTGATGTTGGCTAAGTGCTTTGAAGTTTCTAATGCTTTACTACCAACACTTATCGTCGATTTTTCTTAATTAATGTCTAGATACAAATAAATTAACATTTGCTGAGCATTTTTCAATGATTTGGTATTGTAACGAGTAACTAAAAACATGGTTGCAAACCGGATAATCTTGCTAACTTATTATTTTATGTGCATGTTATAAAAGTAGCATTAAAGGCAATAAATAAATGAATTTTCGTGTATCATCTATATCTATGTATATTTGATTAAAAACTATATCTTATTTTTTTACATTAAATTATAATTTTGACTAAATGTTAATTTATACAGTCAGACTGATATTACATAGAAAAGTATTGATTTCATTTTAAATACGACTACTATAATTATAAGAAAGGCTAAGGACTGAAGTGTTAAAATAACTTGATGATTTTTACTTTTATAAGTTGGAAGCTTTCAACACTTTCAAATGATTATGTATATGAAAATAAGAGATGTTAAGAAGAGACAAAACTTCTAAGCATTCCACGGATTAACCGTGCGTGTGCCGGGTCCATCGTTGCAGGGAGAGGAGCTTCAACAGTGCCTGGGACTTGCGACCCAGGTGTAGGTTAAAGGGGCCTCTATCTACCGCGCGTTAAACGCTCACCTCCACTATCCAAGCTTTTCTCTGTACCTAACCAAATTTGAAACTTTTGGGCGGGAATTAAATATAGAAATTTAGTGATATAGGGGAGTCTCGCTTAAATTACATAAATAAAAAATATCATTTATTTAATAGTTAAGATATTGTCAAGTAGGAGGCATAAATATTAAAATTAAGGGGACTGTAAATGTGGTGATCATGGTACGGTACTCTATAAACATATGAGGTTATTTTAAGTTTAGCAACTTTCCCATAAGACTAATCTTCTTCACAATGTCCATTGGTGTTATATTAACAGTAAAATGGTAACAAAAAATATCTTAAGTTTTTCAAAGTTAACTTTATATATACCAAACTAGTTTTGGGCAAAGGTCTCAAAGTTAAAAACGATTCAACGTATGAGCTTAATGAATTGATTAGTTGGTAAAGTTTGTAACGAACTATACCAACAATATATTCTGTTTCTTAATTTAACTATGTATACATTTGTAATTAGCCTTATGTGTTTGAAATAAAACCTAGACAATTAAGTGTAGTTTTTTTTAATAGGCAGTAAATTAATTTTGTTTTATTTTCAGTGAGATCAACGATATAAATCTTGGTCTTTTGGTGGAGGTGTGGAATAAAGGCGTCATTTGGGATCGCGCCTTGGGGTACCATTACCTGCCGCTAACTTCCGTCGCTTACGATGAGGTAATATGATAATGTCTTTTAAACAAAATTTCCAACATTTTTTATAAACCATATTTAACGTGTCTTTTTATGTTCATTATCCATTGCTCCTTTAGCAAGAGTGCGGTGGTAGGTGGGTGGAGTTGGAGGCGCAGCTGATGATGCGCGGCGGCGCTGTGGTCGGCACCACCGGCCCCACCGGACATGCCTTGTTACTGGACTGCCGATTCGAACCACCGTTCGGTATGTACTTCATTCATTACCGTCCAATCTATTCTGATGAACTATTGCATATACGAGAAACGAGATGTCCGGAATCTACATACATATATCGGTTTAATGAATTAGCTATCGTGATAAGCATACGATTAATTTGACAAATAAATACAAATATAATGATTTCGGAATATCTATAATACTATTTAAAGGATATTTGTTCAATAACTTTAATATAACCCAAATACGGTAGGTTATTGTAGGCATCGCTGTATTTCATGTACAAATAAATTCATATTTTTTTAAGGTTTAATATGTATTATTCTATTTAATGTATATTATTATATTCTGCAAATATTCCATAAAAGACCTCGGTATAGTAAAGGCTATTCATCCTTGTGCACTTTCTAGTTTGTAATATCTATATGGTGAAGTTAAGTATTAAATACATCTAATAATAACTTAACATGTAACCAACACTTTCAACTTTGTTAGCGTAACGTGATCATCGGGTAGCTTCGAACTCAAAGTTTAACTTACTATTAATCAATATTTGAGTGAACTAAGTTTATTTTCATCCAAACTAAATTACAGACTGTTGTTGCAACACGTATTAAATTATATTAATGGTACAACTTGTTTGAATGCTCTAAATAGATTTTAGACGAAGAATTTGTTCAGAAAGAATTTCAGGTTGTAATATAAATTTTAAGTAGGAAATGCTGAAAGACAAATAGGTTGTGATAAATATTTTTAAAGGTGCCATAATTTCGTTAGTGTGAATTAATTTTCAGTTTAAAACGCTTTTAGAGCACACGTACCTCTTGACCTACCTTGGCTCGATTTCAAGCCGTACAGGCCTTGCTGTCTTCCATTCCCTCAAGCAGTATGCGAAGCGCCTTTTAGTGTATGAATTTGCTTCGTGACTATGAATTGTATGTGTTCTTAAATAATCTAAGAGTTAGATTCAACCTTAATATTTTTAAGAGATATCTTACATACTTATATATTGAATATAACAAAAGTTTCAGTCATAACATGGAAATGAGGACAAAAAATATGAAATATCGGAAATATATTTTCGAAATAAGGATAATGTATAGGAAAAAGTCGTCATGAGTTGTTGCTTCACTTGGCAGCAACTACATAATTTGTTAAGATGGCGCCGCCATCAAACCATCCTCGCCAATTTATGACGTTGTTTGGAACCGATACGCGTATTTCAGTGTTGATCTGAATAAAGATTATTGACACAAATATCAAAGACTATTTTGAAGAGATTTTATGTAACTGATAATAAATTTGAAGGCAATGATATAGTTTCTTTTAAAACAATCAATTCATTTCGGAAACAATTTTGCATTTAGGTAGCAACAGTCCTGATTATATAGGCTTTCTGTGTTCTTCGACATATGCGAATGGAGCAAAACGGTAATGCTCACCAGATTTTTTACAAAGAAAATAAATACAAATTATCCTAGAATTTTATCATGAAATGCAATAAATAATGACCCCTTTTCATTCAAGTTTATTTTAAATACATTTTTTTCAATTGACGTACAAAATATCATCCAAGGTCACTATCATTGAGGCATGTAATAGGGTGAGATCGTTACATTTTTGTTATTTATGTTCAAGTGGCGCCGTCTGGTCGTTTGAGTCTGGTCTTTGAAGGTCGGTCTGACGGCAAGGATTTCTATCTTCACACAGACCATTCGGCGACGACGGGAAATGAATAGTATAATTTTTTTTCCCACTAGCCACACCAAAATTATTCATTAATCACTATTTTAAAGAGAATTCGTTTTGTATGAAAATTTTTTCGTGTTAAATATTCGATCTGTCGAAACTGATTACCAATAGGTTTTCATTATTGCAATTTTAATTACTTTTTTTAAAGTGAAATGTTGCAAACGAGCAGACGGCCTACTTGATGGAAGGTCGTTACCATCGTTCATGAACATCCGAAACATCTTTGTTGCAGTTGCATTGCCAACCTTGTTTTTTAAGGAATAGGGAGGGATGGAAATAAGGTAATGGTAAGAAAGGTTGGGAATAGGGAAAGGGCAACAGGTTTCCTCACTCATCGGACGAAACGCAGCAATTAAAGGCTACTTCATGCCGATCTTCTGTGAGAGGGTGGTACTTGTCCGGTCGATCCAGCCCATGTTCGAATTGTCGTAACTGACCACAGCTAGGCTCTATCACTTAAAAATCTTATCATACATAAAATAAAAACATTTTACCTATGTTATTGATACTGCTTTCCGATGATTATTAAAGAAGGCTTTTTAAGTTTATTTTTATGTAAGTAAAACTAAAGTACATATGTATATGACTAACTTTATTTGGTAAATTTAAAGTAATCAGATCTTTTTTAAACAGAAAATATTGCTTTTAAAAGCGAACGGCTTTTATTATCTATGTTAAATAGAGTAACATCCGTCTCTTGTCTCCGCTTCCTCCCGATACGAGGATGGAAAACGAGGAAGCGACAACTGTATGGGGAAATCAATTCTTATAAAGTTTACACACCCTGTATTTCATCTGTATGAAGTATATCTCGCGTTTGACGTAAAAGCATATTTTACATACAAAATCTGCCATGTCTAACTAAAAAATATTTTAATTTATCTAGTTTTGTTCGGTTTATAAGTTGTTTTATTTTAAAACAGTTGATTACTTTAGGGTAAACTGAGATCTGAGCTGTTAACTTCAATGGTTAATTAAGATAAACTGCGAGATTACTTTATGCTAACGCGTTTACTGGGAAGAAATTCGAAGATTGAAGAGGAGATGTTTTCCAAAATCACAAAGAGAGATACTTTTAACCCTTTTTTTTAATTACATGATCCTTAAGAGTACAATAATAACTACAGTTGTTTACTAGTACTTTTCCTGGGATTGTATATTTTATGTCTCTCGAATTTTATCAATAAAAACGAATACTATGAACTATTTATTTTTCTATACTTTATTGAATATTGTCTGGTGACGATCTATTCTCCTGTGTTTTAATAATAATAAAAGCTGACATTTCGACGTGATACTGTCGTGACACCTATGCATCTATTGTACAGATGCGTTATTTATTCACAGATGCATTTCCATCTGTCGTTCTGAAGCCACACAATGGCCTACTGTGACACGTCAAAGTTTATTTGGTTTCTGTACAAAGTTTCGACATTGTTTACGAATTATTACGTAACTTTTTTTCTCTCCAACGGATTTCTTTCTAACTTTGTAACGAGTGGAAATAAAAGTTGTTTGGATGTTTCATTTTTTACGTTATTTTCTTTATAAAAATCAGTGACAAAAAAATGTAATAATATAGGTATAATTATTGTTAACATACTCTTATTGAAAAACAAAAAAAATAACTATATATGTTTAATAAATAAAATATTTTGAGGTCGAACATCTAATAAATTTAGAAAGTGAACATATTATAGGGTTAATTGAATTGAAAACTCAACATGTTACCTAAAACACTTTACAGGATATTGGATGAAACGATCCTAATATCACGAGCGGAAACTAGTAACTAAAGTAATCTTAAAACTCATTAAATTTCATCAAAAATAGCACAGAAAACAGCCAATAACAAAAACGGTATTATAACAAGAAAAAGCTGTTACTTTATGATTACCAGTTTAACTTTCAACTTACGTTTGATTACTTTGTAGTGTGTTAAACGGAAGGCAACTAACAAGACTAATCTACACTTATATTTGAATGAATAGTTACGTATTTCTTCCCACAAATATAGCTACGCTTAGCATTTGAAGTATAAGGTAATATTATTCTAATACAATATATTTATATTATTAAGAATCTATTTTTCTCTTTCATTTCAGTTACAAGTAATTAAGTCGTATAGTTTTACGCACAAAGTAAAAAACACTACAAGCATCCGTACTGTACGTGTCAATTTCTGCCAGAACTCTGTTCCATTCGAAAATAGATCTAGACAAATTGAAATAGAGTCGCGTCGTTTTGCTCCGAGAGCCGTTCATAATTGGATGGTTGGATGGTTGTTTTACGATGAAATGGGGGCATCTTCCGAGCTGTCGCGATGCCACCCGTTCTAATTATACTTTTCTAAAGCCAGTTCTACTGCCTGGTCGGCCGGCGTTCTACGGCTTACAAATTTGTCGAGGGTCTATGTAAGTATCTTTGTATAATTCGGAAGGGTTCAGTGTATTTTTTTTATATTATTATTATGCTAAAGTCAACGATATTTGTAGACGTATGTGCGTCTCTTTCTACTAGTGTATACGTTTTATGATCGATATAAAGTGGTGTTAGAGGGAGGTAGCATTAGTTTATTACGTCGTATTTTAATTTCATTATTTGTAAACATGTCATGTTTTAGCGTCAACAGTAGCGGTTTAGGCGTAAGAGTTTTTGCAGATCTGATACATACTGCCGTAGTGACAGTTGCAATGAGTCTGAATAATTAGTGTTTATGTGAATGAATTATGAGTTAATAAGAGATAATTGGCTGTCTCTTTCATGTATGTGTATCATTCGATGACAATGGCTTTGTATGCCGACTGCTTATTTACTTGAGTGCTACATTTCGCATTACAATTCGCATACTTTTTGCTCAAGCTCCGTATAGAAAAGTTTTTTTGCAACACATTTACAAATGTATTATTCTTGAAAAGTATTGAGTATATATAGGTTTAAAACATCTCTTCAGATGAAAAATGGAATATACACTAGTTGATTAGAAAAATCTTGTTTAAGAAAATATAATTTGAGTAGCTTGAAAGCGGTTTTATGTACATAAGTTTTGAGATTTTATTTTACATAATACTAAGATTACGTTGAAAGACTTTATGCTTAAGTAAAAATATACATATACATACAGAGGCAAATGTGTTATGATGTAATTCCTTGACAGAATTGCGTGTTTTCATACCATAACAGTACTGAAAACCATTTTTAAAATTCTAGAAATATGAACTACAAGAATAAATAATTTTATATGAGTCTTATAATTTTTAAGGGTTAAGTTTTAAATGTTAAAAATAAACAAAATTTAGTTCAAGTTAATAAAATGTCAAGAGAGAACAGTATATACCAACTAATAATTAGGAGTTTTACTCTACTACTACGAATTTTAATGAATAATAATAATTAATAAATTATAAATATATATATATATATATATAATAAATACTGTCTCTTTAGCTGAAATACTGTCTCTTTAGTTTACTTTTGTTTAGAGTTATCAATGCACATTTATTTCATATAACCCAATATTCACTTACACGAAAAGTCATTATCATAGTAGGTATGTGAAATAAGATATAATTTTCCGATTAAAAAATAAAATTTATATGAGATTTGTGTTTTAAGACAAGTTCCACAGTATGTATTACTTTTGAATATATTGAAATAAAATAAACACAGTTGTTCTTTCCAATTGTTGGTTTGGCTTACAGTTTTATTTATTTTATAATAATTATTTATTATAAATAAATATAACGCTTCGAGCACATAGTGTTTGTTACTAGGAACTATGAAACGATTTTTTTATAGCTTTGTAATGTTACATTCAGATTATCAATATGAATATTCAAATTTAATTTTCATTATAATTATCTTTGATTTAGGAGATGATATCAATATAAACACACATATATACCAACATACAAACCTACAGGAATATTTACTTATAATTTATATAATTAAACATAGATAAAGTTGTACTTGGAAGATCACTTGTCCCTCTAGGGTTTTGAACTGTCTTTTAACACCTCTTTCCAAAATTATAGGCTAGCTACTTTCCTAGAACTTTTGATTTAATTTGTAATAATGCTTGTAGAATTTGGGAAAAACCCAGTAAAATAGGATATCTCGTTCTCGTTGTGCTCCATTGTAAAAGTTATTTGTTTTCTTGTTAAAAATAAAGTTTCTTGTTACAAAAATAATCAATCAAATAAATTTATACTACATATAAAACATGAATTACTGTATTTTGAAATTACTCAAAATTTGTTAAAGTATTACTTACTGTGCTTTGAAATAACACTTAATTAATTAAAAGTATCGTTATAGAAATAAGTATTATATATATAATAGTAATAAATAAGCATGTATAAATCATTAAGTGTAACAGTTTTAATGAAAAAATAAGAATAAAGGTGGCACTTCACTTGGCGTTTAGTTGTTGTGTTCGTCCAAATAAGTCCATTTGGGGTGGATTTATTCGTCTTCATTTGACATATTTGCACAAATAAGCGAAAACGTGTAAAGACGTGTTGTTAGCATGTCAAGTGTGGTTGTCGTGTTTGTGCTATTTGGTCTACGTACAAATATTTGGACAAATGCGGCGAATACGCTACTCGAATACGCAACGCCAAGTGAAGTGCCACCTTTAAGAATAATATAACTGTCCCGGTAAGGTTACAAAGCAAATTCACACAAAATGAGGGTAATGTTAAAAAATATGCTTGTTAGTGATTTATTTCTTTAAACGCCTTTTACATCACGCGATTGCGTTGTTTTAATTCTTTTCTATTAATATTGTATTTCGTTGTTATATTTCTTTGTGCTATTTTAAGCATTTGGATAATTAGTCGTACATTTGTGTGAACATTTTTGTTTTTAATATCAATATTTCTTAGAAATATCTATTTGAAAACTGCTGCTCTTTACGGCGACAATATATTTTTAAGCTATAAAAATCTTCTTGAGGTATTGTGTCTTGAAAACTTTTCATCTATACAGAAACTTCACGACAAAGACACCTAACATATACATATGTATCTATCTATTATAAGCGGTGCTATATGGGTCAGTAAACCTGACATTTAATGGGTCAAATCGTGACATAATATTATATAATATAATATAAATATTAAATATTAATTTTAAATTGATTATTTTAAAATTAACTTTAAAATATCTGCTTACATGTTTTGGATGATTTCAAAAGTATATTTAGTTATTATTCGTTAAAACATCCTACGACTTTTTTTTTCAATATGAAATTATATTTAAATCTATCTAAAACAACAAAAAATATTTTTCTTAATTTCATTTAATAATTCTAAACAAGAATGTTTCCGAAGAAAGCATTTTGTATTCCATTTCAATAAAATAAAAGTAGCATACACAATGATCACAAAAATAAAGAATCTCACCCTTGAATTTGAAAACTTAATAAATCTAAATGATAATTATTGTTGATGATGAAGTATGTATGTAAATCACGACCTAAAAAACCGTTTCTAGAGGAAATTATCATCTTTTCCTCCCGAAGTTATTAAAACTAAACCGTATACTCGTGGAAACAAGAGCTAATTAATACATGCCTGAGCATTTCAAGTATAACACGTAACCTACATTTTAAAAACGTTACTTGAAATCTATGTAGATTTCTACGTAGTGAAAAAAAAATTAATATGACAATTTTATGTGTATAATGTAAAGATAAAGTTTCATTTCATATCAAATGTATATTACGTTATATTATATAATATTGCTATAACAGGATTTTTTCTTCAAGGACTATTTTTAACTTGCTATTCATTTACCATTTCCCGAGCGATTTTCTTCGTGACAAACTTATTCTGCTACTGAATTGCATTGCCCGCAGCTAATTGCTTATAACCTATCGGTAATAAGCTTTCAGTTGATGAAGAAACAGATTAAATTTCGCTAAATTAGGTCAGTTGTCTGTTAACGTTCTGATTGATATCAAGGGCCCTTTAAAAGATTGTTAGGGAAGTGATTTACTTGGCGCTGTTATTACAATAATTTAGATTTATTTTTAAATTAAATAGATGTATTAATTTTAAATTTAATGTATATGTTTTCTTTATTTAATTCTAGTTACGAATAAACCAAATCGTCTTGCACTTTGATAAATAATTTGAGATTAATTTACATTTCAAATAAATAATAATTATCAATTTTATTATGGCAAAAATATTTTTTCATACAGGCTTGCTTCATCGCCTCTTTAATTCTAAGCAAAGTGTTTAATTAAAAATGAGTCTTAATATCATACATATCTTAATTACAACGAGGTTTTAGGCGTGTGAGGAAAAGGTTAACAAATTAAATATTACACAATAGAATAGTATACTAACTTAAAGCGACTTTAAGTTAACGTGCTGTGTAAATTTAACTACTATAAAATTATATTATATCGAAAAAGATTTTATATAGCCCGAACCACATAAAATTTTTAATAAGTTAAAAGAATAAATCTTACTTTCTAGTGTCACATGACGTCATTACAGATGCAGAAGGTACCGGTGGAACCGACTTGCAGCGCAAGTTGGACCTGCTTAACGGCGCCCTCGACGCAGAGCGCGCGGAACAGGCGAGACGGCAGCTACAATACGTTGCGCATTGTAAGTTGCATAAGGATGTATTAAATTGCATTAAGATGCGTTAAATTGCGTTACAAGATGCTATGATCATCGTTCAAAATATAAATCATTAATTCAATTTATGGCGTAAAATGTAAACGCAGCTAAAATGTTATAGTTTTTCTCTTGCTAACAAAAGGAAATTTCATTATTTTTCAACATTTAATAGAATGCTTATTGATCACATATCAGTATCGATATACTGAATGTCTGCCAACTTCTACTAAAAAGAATTTTTCAGTAGATACTTGTTCTTTACTATAAGTTTAAAATGAACTAGTTAGAGCTTTTTCAGGCTACACTTAGTTTTAACAATGAATATATTCTGATACAAATAACACTAAACTTTTAGTAGAAAATTTAACATCAACAAAGTATGTTTGAATAATATTCCTTAGTTCATAAAATAATAAAGTAGATATTATTTTAACTACTCGATGGAAATAGCTCAACTAATAAAGAATATTACAAAATAAACTTTACGATTCGAAAAGATGTAATACCTTTTATGAAGTTTCAATTTCTATATTCCATACATTTCAGATACTTTTGACGTGAATAATAAACGAGTGGTCTGGGAAAATAAATCAGTTAAATACAATATGGAAACCTAAGTAAACCATTACTTTTATCAAGAAATATCTGAGCAAATATATTCCTCAAATAATGTTTCTAATAAATAAGGTCGTTGACCTCGGCACTCTTGAAATGAAAAACGTGTCACAGTACACTAGCGACGAGGATTTTATTAGACACAAAGTCATCAAATATATTTGTATTATGACATACTAGATTTTACTATTGACTTTCCTTGTTTATTCAAAGTTAACTACACTGTGATACTTTTTATTATATGCTATAATGTAAACGTTTTTCTATTGAAGCCTACCACGATAAAAATAAAAATTAAATAAATTTTGCGTTAATTCTTTTTAATAAAAACACATATACGCTTATAAATATATACAAATTTGGAAAATAATATTAAGGGGATTTCATTGAAAAATTATTCTGTAACGGTTGCTAATAGGAAAACATTGGAATGAGAAATTTGTTAACACATGTCTAAGAGTTTGTTTGTGTAAACTATAAATTTCTGATGTTGTAAACAATCCAATTATTATTTATGGTTGATTGTTAGGTTAGGAGATTGTTTTAAATAACATAAACACATGTTGTATTTGCCTCAACATTATAAATATTTTTTAGTATTTTCTTCGAGTTCATGAGTTCTATAGACCTCTCAGTAGCAGCTCAGCCTTTAAAGGACCTTCTTGAAAAGGCTTACCACAATTATTGTTACAAAAGTACTTTTATCCTTTTCCGATTGGTTGTTAATTCTTTGTTTTTTAAAAGGGGTGAAAATTAATTACACTCATTTTCTCTACACATGCGACGAGAAATGAAATGTAAGGTTTTTGTGGAAAAACTAATGTCTTGTCATAGCACGAAATAGCATTGAAGAGCATTTTGAAATTGTTGTTTTTAGACATCGAGTTCACGGAAGGATTAAAACAATTTAGGAATCTATTTATTTAATAAAACAATTATAAGTATAGCTTATATAAAAATCAAAACGAGGAAAAATCATAGATAATGATTCAAAAAACATACATAATAATTTATTTGAGTTTGTATGTATGTGGTTCCGCAATAAACACGAAAACTACTTATCGAATGTACGGTAAAAAGGCTACCACTAGAATATGTCTTTATGCTTACTAGAAGTTGCATCGTCACACGATATAATAGCTTTTCCGTTCCTCATTCAGTGACTATAATTTTGTAGAGGTTTATGATTGAAAGACTGTTAGCGCTCCGAATGTAGTGTGACCATTCATATTTGGAGTAAAGATGTTAATCTCTAGTCAAATTACTTGATAATATTTTTTCATCTTTATAGAATCAAAAACATTTATAAACATCTACATTGATTTGAAAATAAATTTTGCATCTTTTATTGTTATTCAAAACAATAATTGGCTATAGTGTGTACGTAGTACTTTAAATTTAATGACTTTTTGGCAAAACATTTTAAGGGAAATCTACATTAATTAATTTATCTATCAAAGAACGTAAAGTCGTTTAAGTAATGATTTGTAACATACAGATGTATATCAAATTTACATAAATCTTTAAATTCTTTAGGAGATTGTTATTTTTGAGCACCTTAACATTGTTGTTTTTATTAAAATATATATTCAGGTGAATAGAAATGGGCTTTTTACCATATAAGTTTGAAAGTAGATTATTATTTCTATGTGCGCTTCTCGGTGGCGAAATGAAAAGCTACAAATTAAACTTTATTTCTGTATATAAATCCCTGGATATGGTATTTCTCAGAATGAAGTAGCTGGATGGGTTGTATAAAAGATTTATTCAAAGTAGTAGCAGAAACCTCAGTCCATTAATAAGGCGTGACATAGAAATTTTCTTGTACTTTTATCTAAATACTAGTTTTTGAAATGTATAGCTGACCGGGCGAATTCTTTTCCTCTTTAAGGACAGAATATAAGAAAATTTTGGATTTGATCAAGTTATATTTTTTCTTTTTTAATTGGAGGAAAAGTATCCTATGTCCTTTCCCTTGTTCTAGCTATCTCTTCACCAATTTTCAGTCAAATCCGTAAAGCCGTTCTTAAGTTATAAATAGTTTAACTAACACGACTTTATTTTATATATAAAGGTTATTATCATTATAATTATGATCGGAGGAATCTTCTATTGTTTTAGTTAATATATTTTTAATGTTTTTATTTACAGCCGGGTATTCCGAGGATTCTGACTACACGTCTGACCTCAACTACCCCGTGGGTCAGCACGCTAATTGCAGCGCATCGCAGTTCAGGAGCGCCGCGCATCAGATGCATACGCCGCAGGTATTCATTTATTGTACATATAATAAATTAATAGTTTCATTTAGATACATAAACCTATCAGAGATCACGATAACTGCAGAAGTAATAGAAATCCATTAGGATAAGTTCTATCTCCGTGTAAAAAGTAGCATAGTGAGATCGTAGTAGCTCAGGAAAGAAGTTTTTTTCAATAGTCTCATTTCTTAATTAAGTCAGTAGGACTTACTACTACTACTTTACTTTCATATAACCTTTTTTAGTCATGATAAATCAGCTTGATTTAAATTTAATAATTTGTTCTTCATAATAAGTTCATTTTATTAATTGTTTTTGTTAAATTACAGAGGTCTTTGGAGGCGTCACGAGAGAATTCATACGAGAGAGAAGAATATCATCTGCATGGAGATACCGACCCTCTCTATTATAATAGTCAACCAAGAACTAATAGGTACTATTATTATAATGTACAAAAGTTCAAAGAATACTATCGGGAAAATTTATACTTAGTGATTATTAAATTTATATTTTTCATTAAAATTGTTGAAGAATGGTCAGTTCCTGGAGTCTATGTAAGGCAATTTCTTCTTGCGTTGCTTTGCCAAAAACACTATCCTCTAATGAATATGGATGCTTGTCACTTTCAAGATTCTTTCTCATGAAAGAACCCTGGCTGCCTAAGTATCATCTATAGTTATTCCATACATTCTTCAACCTGTAATAGCACTGGAGATTTGGTTTTAAAAGTCATTGAATAAAAGTTAATATTTTCTTAAAATTTAAGTATAAATATTTAAGCGCTTGATAATATATTGTTATTAATAAGTTTGATGTTTATTTCAGGATAGAGACATGGTCGCAACTTCATGCACAGGCGAGCGTGGAATCAGCTGTGTCATGGAGAACAGCAACAGATTGGCAGTCGGGAGGTACGTAGACATTTATTATTTATTTATAACAAAGAAAAAAGATCTTATTTTCATAATAAATGAATTCACATCTCGTCTGCCCGTAATCACGGTTACTGAAAACTAACCGATATATCGGAAGTATGTAGTTTAAAATAAATTATATACGCGTAGTTATCCGAATATATTAGTTTCATTTAAATGAATACTCGCGAAAGTTTTAGATTTCATTATTTATAATAGTTGTTGCACAATAATATTAAACAAGTGTAATTAACAACAAATGTACTATATTTTGTGTCTTTTATAAAAGACACTAACATGATTATTAAATAACTAAGAAACTAGGTGTATTAAAAATGCAGGATTTTAAATATTTTCTAGCTTAAATTGAAAAAGTTTTAGGAAAATTTGTGAATTTTTTATCAAAAAAAGGTTTCATATCTTTCACCCTCAAATAGTTCAGCAACAATTTTTTTTAAATACATCTTCTTCGCTTGGTTCTGAATTCAATTACGAAATTTAGAGGAAGCAGACGGTTTGAAAAGCTAGTATATAATACAAAGGAAAAATAATTTAAATGCATATATTAAATATACGCTGTACGACTTAAATAAACTCTGTTGTCAGTATTACAATATCAATTATTATTAATCTATTTTTAATATCATATTCAAACTTTTTAGTTTAACTAGTTGTAGTAATTATGTATCCCTAATGTAAAGGTTATATATTTTTGTTGATTGAAATTTTAAAGCCTATATTTTCATCAATATTATTTATGCGACCATTAATTTAACTCGTACATCTAAAGAAGAATTCCTAAGTAAGGTTTAATTTTTTGCCTCTGGATAAAGTGACGACGAAAGAGGCTTTTTAATATTTAATATTGACATAAATAAATAACATAAGATGGTTTTACTGGATGTTTAAATTTTTTTTTTCAGAGGAACAGCGAAGGCCTAGCCTCGAGCGTCAAAACACGTTATACGATGATAGTATAGGATACGGGTATGACCCATACACCACTAGCACGCACATTAGGTAAGTAAACACATCCTATTTAATCCTTTATAGTTCTGATCATCAAGGGTTTTTAGTTAAAAACATTTTTTGGGAGGTCTTGTCATGAATGCTATTTATTCATGGTATTGGTTAGATCTTTTTCCTGGCTATAGTTCTAAAATTTTGGTTGATTTGGTTTTATTGAGAGACTAAAAATGTTTTTGTCAGATTGAATAGTTATTAAACTAAAATCTATTTGTGTGGAGCTAGATTATTACCAATCCAAAAAAAGAATTTTAAAAGTCTGTATTATTATTTTTATATTATTACCCACAGTATATAGAATGAAAATAGTTTAATTCTACTTAAATTAAGTTAAATTAATAATAAACGTTCATTTCAAACACAGGGACCATTCACATTTATCACATCAAACCAGCTACGAGGAGTATTATGACTCCAGCAGCTACCAGTATCCATACGATGCTTACGGTCGGTACTTCTTCGAAGAGTCTCTAGGCCTAACTCCGACGGAATATGAAAACATCGTCAATAAACGACGATCTTCTGTCGTCCAACTGCCGCAAATGCCGCCCAAACAGGTAAAAACATTGATTCAAATAGATTTTTCTGTTTCTTTTTGTTAAAGTTTCTTTGGTATTAACTTGGTTGGAATGTTTTCATTCCCTATATAAGAAATGCTATGAAAATTACATACTATATTTAGTGTGTATACAAATTCATTCAGATCTCACTTGACTGCTGATTCTATGATTGCCTTTAGGGCTTTTGAATTATAAGAGATCACATATAATCTTCTAGGAAATCAAATAAAGCTGAATATGTGTAACAAAAACTTCAACATTTTGAATTTTTTACTCACAATATATTGTCATTTATATTACATATTGATATCCAAAAATAACTATTTTTTTATTCATCATGTAACAGTTGCCACCATCGTCTAGATATTCTGACTACAATGAAATGGCTCCATACAGACCGCGGCCGCGACGTACAACAGCTAGTCTTCCAGGTAAAATATATCACAAAATTATTAAAATGTATTTATTCATTTTTGTTATTAAAGATAATTGTCAGTAAGCATTTATAAGTCATATCCCGATATAGCTGATTAGGTATTTATACGAAGTTTTAGGTATTGTAAGATGAAAAAGTAGATAAATCTCAGAAATTTTTATAAGGTTATTTATTTATATCATTCATGACATTGATTGTCCTGAAAAAATACTGGTCCTGAGATAGACAAAAAAATATTGACACTTTCATCTCGTCTGCAAGTAATCATTATTGCTATAAAGTAATAGAACCTTGAAGAAAATGTAAAATAGTATAGGAATGAAGGAAAATATAGACAACGCAGTTAGATTGTTTTTTTGTTCACAATAGCAACACCTTCATCAACTCCGAAGCGTGGTCGGGCGTTGCCGGTGCCTCCCGGCAGCGAGTCAGGGTGGGGGCGCAGGGGTCGTCGCCTGCCTCAACCCCCCGCCATTAAGGCAGCCTCCCGACTCGTCACCGCTCACACTAAGACTGCGCACACCCATGTGCCTTACACTACCGGTAATTAACATACGTACACGTGAAGATTTTCTCCATGTTAGATAAGGCCTTTGCTTAGCAGTGGGCTCTAATAGGCTGATGATGATGATGATGTTGATGATGATACTCGGAGTCTCAGCTTGCGGATTCGGATATGTTCATTATTGTATTCTAACAATTCGCTCTCCAGTTCTCTACGGTCATGAAGGTCAATGGTCATACTGACCTGTGTGAAATTTGGTGTGAAGTTTCGAATTTTACAATCCACAAGTCAAACTTGCCTAGAGCTAGTTTTACAAGTACCATTATAATGCGATCTACGATATCTAAATATACATGTAGTAGATGGGTATATGTATCCCCGGGGAAAAAAAACTAAAAAATGGCTCTCTCAATCTAAGGAATATATATATATATTTTAAATTCTCTTTTTTATGTATAATTTTATATTAATTTCTTTTATAGTATTTTTATCTTTAGTGAAGGGAGCCATTTTTAAACATAATTTAATGAGTCAAATAGAAAGGATACCCACAACGTTAATATATATCATTCAGGATATATCCATTTTATAGATATATCTATAGTCCATATTATTTAGCTTCAGGTAAACGCGCAAACTACAATTGAAAAAATACGCTGTTGTTGGTTGTTGTTTATTTCCTGGATATAATAACAAATCTTGATGGGATTCTTCTTTTTGCCACAAAGAGGTTTTCTTTTTTTTTAAGTTTTAAAAAGACTTAACCAGCTTTTTGTTTTTTTTTTATTAATTTTGTTATTAAAGAACTTAGTAGGAATCTAATTTCTAATTTTGAAAGCTCAGGCTTTGTCAGGGAATTCTAATTGTTCTTATCTTTTAATTGTTATTTGGTATCTGTGCAGAGCCTGAAAGAGCTGTTCCAGATGTTAGTTATGGTTACGACAATTACAAGACTCAACCACAGCATCAAGACGTCGTTACGGATCAATATCAAGACACCAATTATAATACGAAGTATGTTTATGTAATATTTAATTTTTTTATTATATGTATATGTTTTACAAATATTCAAATTAATTTAAATCTATAAGAATTTTAAATGAATGAATATTATTTTATTCCAATGTTTGATAGGAAAACAATAATGATTTTTTGGTTTATTTAAATTTGCATAATAAAGATTTTATATATGATTCTTTTATAAATACAAGGTCTAAATAATTGAACATAGAAAAAATAAAGCAAAGTAACAGTTATATTGTGATATTTTAACAGTTACGATGAGGATGGTATGCAGCCATTCTTTGATGAAACTCCCCACGCTACACCACCAGCTGCTACAGGTAACAGCATTTAATAAATAAATAATAATGGCAATGAAACATATAGTATCATATATAATTACGTAGCATTTTATTGGATTTATCTGTGACACTGAAAATAATTCAATGTTTTAAGATAAAAGTTTCCGTTACGCGGTCATGGTACACTTCCAGTTATTTTTATAATCAGTATGTTGTTGTGCCTTGATTGACAATGTTTCTTCGATTGTTTAACCAATGTTATGAAGAATTTACATTTTCAATATTCGAAAATATATTTTCAGCTCAAAAGGCGTCGTGGGCTGAAACGGAAACTACAACTCAATTTTCTTATCCGGTCACAAGTGAACTGGATTCTGTGATACCCAAGTCTGTGCCATCAAAACTTAGTTCATACGTTCATCCGCCTGTTACAAATAAGCAAGATATTTATAGGGAGCAAAATTATCAATCGTATGATACGAAATACGATAGTAGACAAGAGTTTATTAAGTTTCAACAAGATCAAACTTATCCAGAGGAAGTTATACCAAACCAATATCTGGATCAAAAGACGGATTATGGCTATCAGTATCCAACTGATCAGGAATATCAATTTAAAGGGAAGCAAGATTATACTGATGATGAACGTGAGTATCAGAAGCAGCAGGAATTGGTGCAATTGGAACAAACATATTTCGAAGACTTGCACCAGTTTCAGCAAAGTCGTCAAAGCCAGCATGAGCGATTAAATCAACAAAATGAAGGCCTTAATAAAGACCAGTTCCATCAACAAGATCAATTATTTCAAAAGGATAGATTCGATCAACCAGATTTACGACCTTATCAAAAAGATCGCTATCCGACAGATCAAATATATCAGCAGGATCGAATAGCTCAAAAAGATCAGGCTTACCAAAAGGATCTTTCATATCAGCAAGAAAGTAAATCGTTTCAACAAGAGCAGCGTTATCAGCCAGATCAAAATTATCAAACAAATCAACCATATCAAGAACAGTCATATTATCAAGAGACCTCATATCAGCCAGACCAAACATTCCAACAGGAAAAGCAACAGTATCAACAGGAATCATCTTACGTACAAGATCAGCAGTATCAAAAACAACATGAGGTCCAACAGCCACAACAATATACTCAACAACAGTCTTATCAGAAACACTACGATCAAGAAGCATTTGATAAGCAACCACAACAATTTATTCAAAACCAACAACAACAATACGAGCAACAGCAATATCAACAACAACAACAAAATCATCAACAACAACAACAACAACAACAACAAAATCAACAACAACAATATCTTGATCAGCAACATCTGCAGCAACAGCAACAACATACTTTACAGTACCAACAAAAGCAACAGTTACAGCAAAGCCAACAGCAACAGCAGCAGCAACAACAGAAACTTCCAACCCAACAGCTTCAAACAACTGTTTTAACAGGCGCAGCTACACTTGGATCATTGATGGCTGGAGGGGCGAAAAAATTAGGTAGTTTCTTCGGTGCAGCCGCAGCTGCTGTGGCACCCCCTGCTCCTAGTCAACAGCAGCAACAGCAACAACAACTTCAGCAACAGCAATTTCAGCAACAGCAGTTTCAGCAACAGCAGTTTCAGCAACAGCAACTTCAGCAACAGCAACAGCAGCAACAACAACAACTTCAGCAACAAGCACAAACAACAAGTATACCAATAACTTCAAGTACCGTAACACAACTACCTTCCGTGACAGCTCCGGCATCTAAGCCCTCAATCACCTCATCATCTGATATTTATACCACATCCGTCCTTGAAGAACAACCAACCTCACCTGGACACACGGTGACAACAACAGCTCCATCTTTACCGAGGACTCCATCACTAAAACGACAAGAATCAATACAAAGGCCTTCAGTACGTCGTACACGGACCTTACCCGATGCCCCAGAGGATTTTTCTCAGGGAAGTTTCGACGAAAGTGCCTACGAGGATGAGTACAATAAGACTGAACTTGATCAAGTAGATCGCGATAGAACATCCTTGGACAGGTATCGTGATGACGACTATCTTCACGACGTTATTCACGAGGATGTCATGGAAGAGGAGAAAATGGTTGATGAATCTGATATACAAAAGACTGCTTCACCTACTAAAACTATATCTCAAGTCAGAAAACCTTCAGTTGATAGTTATCATAGCCAAGCTCCCTCAGTTCTTGATAGAAAGACTTCCCAAAGCTCATTTATATCTCAACATGAAGACAAACTTACAGTGCCTACAACATTAGAAGGTAAATATTTGTTGTATTTAATTATAAAATTAAATATGTAACCAACGATTTTTTTCCTATTGATTTTCAATTTATTATATGTAAATTAAAATCGTTTTTTTATACTTAAAAAGAAAGCTATTGTTTAAAAATACTTAAATAATGAAATATCTTAAGAATTGGTGTTTTAACTAAATTCACTAAGTTTATGTTCCGTCATTTTTATCCAGAACAAGCTATGGATAAATCAAAAGTGACATTTCACGAAGAGCGAACGACATACCACGAGGTGCCTGACGAGCAAGACCGTTTTGAGAGACAGGAGTCATTTGACCAGGACACAGAATTTCCTGATGATCAGGATCAATATCAGGATGAAACGTTCAGGGATGATGAGAAATTCGTCGAGGAGGAGAGATTCAACGAAGCCGACGACCAGTATCCTGAGGATAGTGTCTTTAATGAAGACCAGGAAAGGCAGGAGGATGAACCGTTAGACTTCCAACCAGAGCAACCCAAACTAACAGCGAAGCAGAGGTGGCATCGAGCTTACAACAAGATCGTCATGAACGTGAGTAATATTTATAGCAAGTAGAATAAGTAGATAAACCATAAAGAAGTATTTTGAATACAGTTAGATCTATAATTTAAGTAATACAAGCTTCCGCCAGTGGCTTTGCTGACGTGGATATTAGTTTTGACTAGGTACCAAAAATATGAAGTTTCGACCGTAAAATATATTCTTAAATACAGGAAAATTTATAAATTTTCTATTATATCTTATTTTTTTCATATTTATATAAGCATATAATTTTATCTTATTTCAGCAGTTTTTGGTTTGATGGTTTATTATTATTTTTTATAATATTTTTATGACTATTATTCTATTTTAAATATATTTTATATGCAACAGAGAATTAACACCTAATACTATAAATAAGAGGATATTAAAAGGTAAGTTTAATTAAAAGAAAAGTGCTAGGAAAAAAGAATTTGATATGCCGTGATTTTATTGCTTGCTTTTAATTACATATAGTATAGATAGATAGAAAAATTTCCCAAAGGAATATATTTTTATTTAATACTTATTTAACATAAATTTTTTTTCAATGGTAAGAAAGGTAAACAAAAAATGAAATCGTACATAACATATATTGATCAGCTTACATACATGAGATTAATTAAACAATTTATACCTAAGATATAAAATATGTACAATCGAGAACCTTTTGTGGTAATGACAGCAATAAAAATCCGACTCAGCTATAGAACATAATACTTGAGTCTACTTTACGACTGTCTGTATACTTAATCAAGTTATCACACAATCGAAGTTAATCAAAGGTTGTCTAGCGCGGTTGGTGTCAGCACATTGTTCTTTAAGTGTATTACTATTGACAAGTACAATTGGCTTGTTCAGCTATGCGTTAATATTTTCGTTCAGTCACTTTAAATATTAAAATTTCTATATAAAATTATTAATTAGTTAAAAATAATTTATACTATCAATATGGTAGAAGCAACTGAATTTATTCAACAATTATTGTTGTTTTTTTTATTATATAATATATTATTTCAGTAGTGACACGTCATACAAACTATAGTATTTAATTCCCGCTGTGAAATAACGTTCAGATATAAGTAACTGCTGGGAAATGTGAAAATGCTGTTACGTTTCTGTACTCTTAATGTTTTGACCTTCGTAACTAAGCCTTTGCAATCTACAAGTGCTTGTAACGTTAAATTACAAGCATCTTGTGAACGAAATCTTAGCAATTATTAGAATTCTTACACCCTTTCCACGCATATTTCTCTGTAAAAAATATCTACTTTTAGTTTTTTAACGGATACTTTAAAAGCACGTTTCTGATATGAAATATATTTGTCCACACTCAATCTAATGAATACACCAGGTATATTCATTGCTTGAGTCCCAAAATTGATTTAACCTGGGAGACCTCTTAAAAAGATTTATCGTAAATTTATTTCACACGTAACTTCATTACTTTCTATTCAAAGCCAGAAAACTGAATGGGGACAGGAAATCTTATAACTATATTGATTAAGTAAAAGCTTGTGTTTATATATCTATGGACTTATAAATTTAATAAAGATACTTGCTCAGACGAAGTCATAATTTACAAAGAAGTAATTTAGTATATTTAAAAGGCATTTTTAATTTTTTTTAAAATATTAAATGACATTTGTAATTAGTATTGAAATCGTGTTCTACACAAATATTATGAAATAGGTTTTATTTGTCTTTATTAAATTAAAAGCCGTCACATGTTTATATATTTTATTTTAACTAAAAATGTACGTGGAGACGTATGAGTGATTACTTTAGTGATATAATTAAATGAAATTCTTGTTTTATTTATAGTTTGTTGATAATTCAATGGAAACATTTTGATTTAATAATGTTTTTCCTAGTTAGTCTTAAAAAATTAAATCATCAATATTGTACATTTTGTCGATCACTCTACACCCTACTGGTTAAGTGATGCCTCCCGCGGCTCCCTCAACGCTTTTGAACCCGATCGCTTCATTAGTTACTCCACACGAATACCTTCAGTCCGCAGACAGACCTTGTAGCGTACGCACATTAAAAAGTCAAAAAGAAAATTAGTTAAATAAATGTAGCCGGATTTTTCCGAGGTCGCGATAATACTATCCTGCGGGCGGCCGTGGCCGTAATTCCGACGCGCGCGCACCTATCAGCTATTTGTATGCAAATTTGTTTCATATCGTTCGTAAACCTTCAGTATTTGTTAAACTGTTGGGAATTAAACTGTTTTTTATTACGACAAAATGGTGAGAAGCAAGAAATGTCAAGCGGTCAGCGAAGCTGATGTCCGCCGTGATCAAACCTTTCCTGTTCTTTCGAGTGCTTCCAATGCTAGATTGAGAGTTCGACGTGGATCGAGTTTGACCGATTTGGATAAGCTTCGGTGTAGTTTAGGTTCCAGTGGGGGTGGGTCTATTGGGGATCTGATGAATATGTTCAGTGGTAGTGCAAATTCCATCGGAAGTGATACATTAGTGGCAAGAACAGTTCCGTTAGAGACTGTACGGCGTAGTATACCACCTATGTCTACGCCACCACCACTTCCGACGGCATCACCACTTCCGCCACCATCACCACTTATACACACGTCTAGACCAGTCGGCCCTTTGACGATGGCACAAAGAACTTTGCGTTTCAGTAGATTACTTAAATATCAGCCTTGTTCAAGTGATGTTGTAATTTTACTGGTGAGTATTAAATTCCATTACGTTTACAGGAAATATACGTTACTTATGATCAATAACCCAAATAGCAACCTTGGCAGTGCTACACACAAATATCATGTATTTCATTATCAAAAGCAATAACAAAATGTCAACTTACGTTATCATTAGATATTGCTTGTTAAATACGATTATTATCCTTAAAAGCTTTTTAAAATGAGTACATTTAACTATGGTTGTGATAAATCTCGAAATTAGGAAAGTATTTTGACATTACAAAACATTTTACTTTGGTAACAAAAGTTTTATACAGTTGAAGTAACTAATCATCTTCGACATCGATCATTTTAATTTAATGAGAAGAAAACGTATAACCTTGGTAGGTTTAATTGATGAGCAGTAATCTGATTATAAAATCACGGGAATACGCTTGAATAGACTTTCTCAAAACAGAATTCATATACTATATTCATATAATATATGTAGTAATTATATATATGTATGTTTGAAAATTATCAGATCTGTAAAAATTAATTAATTTACATTTCGATTTTTATAAAAAAAACATGAAGAATAAAAATTATAATTTCTGATATTTTATTTGGTAAATTATAAATATTTAAAAAAATATTTTTTTATTATTTGCTATTAACTACTAGTTAATTCGGGTGTACTAATATTTTATTCACTTTCCATATTAAAGATTATTTATTTATTTTAAAATAAAATATTGAAGTTTGTATCTTTTAGCTTTTTGTGAAAAAAAAACACATTTGTAGCTACACCATTATCTTTACCGTTTCCAGCGAGCAAATTAATCCTTATCAATTTAATGACCCTTGTTATCAATTAAAGGCGCAAAGACCTAAATTTTATGTTCTTCTTGTTGTAACTTTTTATAGTCTACTAGCTGATACCTGCGGCTTTGTCCGCGAATTAAATTTTTTTGAGATACCCGTTATCATCCTTAATAGGTTGTGGTGATAGTGGAACTACGACAGGAGAATGCCTTTTCATTTAAAAAATAACCTGATATTAAAAATCGGAGTGTAACTGATGGAGTCTTACCGTAATAGTCATATATTACAATTTCGAAATTTCTCTACTTAAATATACTATCCACCTGTCTGAAATTCCAGTTAAAATTGATCCAGTCATTTTAAATAGTGCCCGGCACTATCAGATAAACAAATGTTTTATATCCTTTTAATGGATGTATTGTATTGACTTTCATAGACTAAATTTTTAATTTAAAACAACCGGGACTAAAATAATTTAACGGGACTAAAAGTATCCTATAACTTGACCAGGAATATAAGGTACTACCATACAAAAAAATCAATCAGTCTAGTCGCTTCGAAATATCAATTCGTTAAATTTAACTCTGTACTACATCCTGACTCGATTATAACCAATTTTTTTTCTTTTTGCATAAAAATTTACTTTCTACGGTTACATATATGTATAGATTTTATAATAAAACTAGTTTTTGCCCGCGACTTCGTCCGCGTTAGTTTCGTCATTAGTAATATATGTATAGCTGACCGGGCGAACTCTATTCCGTTTTAGAGGCCATTAATAATCAGGTTTCTCCTGTTTCAATCGAACAGAATGATTGACATATTAGTTAGTTGTCAAATCTAATGTCAAAGAAAACGTTTGTATGGGAAATAGAAAAGGGCGGTTTTCAGGGTTTTACCGGAAATGAATCAATTTTTTTCAGCTTTCAAACCTTCCCTGAACCTCCACGAACATTTCAAGACTAAGATAAGGTAAATCCGTTCAGCCGTACTCGAGTTTTAGTGAGACTGAGGAACAGCAATTCATTTTTATATATACAGATTGATACTGTATACAAATATTGTTATTCATAGTACACAAATATGTTATGTTAATTCGACGGTATATTAACAATTCTTCTACCATTGTTCTCAATTTCTTTTCTCAACCCTATAGTCTCTACTAATTAATGATGATTGTACTTCATATAATCTAGCAAAATCTATTATTATTCTTAAGTATCAACGATAATAATGCGAATTAATTACATATAACATTAATTAATATGTATAACTAGTTTTTGCCCGCGACTTCGTCCGCGTTAATTTCAACATTAGTAATATATGTATAGCTGACCGGGCGAACTCTATTCCGTCCTAGAGGCCGTTAATAATCAGGTTTTTCCTGTTTCAATTGAACAGAATGATTGACATATTAGTTAGTTGTCAAATCTAATGTCAAAGAAAACATTTGTATGGGAAATAGAAAAGGGCTGTTTTTAGGGTTTTCCCGGAAATGAATCAATTTTTCTCACCTTTTATACCTTCCCTGAACCTCCACGAACATTTCAAGACTAAGATAAGATAAATCCGTTCAGTCGTTCTCGAGCTTTAGCGAGACTAAGGAACAGCAATCCATTTTTATATATATAGAAGATAGAAAAATTAAGTTCTTGGAATTATCAAGTGGTTGTGCCCATTTGCTATCTAACGTTTACCTTTAAACTTATCAAGTACATGACTTTCATTAGTCTTTAAAACACAAATAATATAAATAAAATAGTTTTTATAATAGGAAAATAATAAAAACTTTGTAATGGAAAAAGTTATGACTTATTACTCCAAAACAAATTAGATGTAGGAGTTAGAACGATTGATGTTTAACAATAGTTCTAATAATTTGGATTTTAAAAAGAGTTGATTTTTTTGTAAATAATGTTCTTCAGGGCAAATAATCAAATATACAAAATACATTTCATAAATTTAGGTATGTAACAAATTTCTATTTGTTTTTTCTCTTTTATCCTAATCATCCTAAAATAATGAATGTTGGACAATGCACTTTTTTGTAATTGAATAATTTTGCATTTGATAGTCTTCTTTCAACTTCAAATCGTTGCAAAATAATAATATTAATTCCTTATATGACTTTACCACTAATGGATTTTCTTTGAAAGTAAACCGAAGTGAGGCAAGTTTTCCAATAAAAGGTTTAATATAGGAACTACAAGACTTTGAATCCTTTGACTCCATCGCTAAAACCTTCAACAATCAGCAACGCATGAAGCGGTTCGAAGTGTTTCATTCTACGTTCATATTCACACCTCGATTTACTTTGCCAGCAGTGTAGGACTGTATACTTAGTAGGACTATATACAGAAAGTAGGCACATATTTACATATTGTTTTTCTTAAAAATGATAAGTGATAGAATGCTAGGTATAAAGTATTAATATTAAATTGTAAAAAACATTTAGAGTATGTCTGCATTCAAAATGGTGTAGCAAAGAAAACCAAACGTTTAGTTTAAATTTTATTAAGAATTCACATTAAATTAATTGTGGTAATAAAAATCGTTTATCGTAAGTCTTCTTCGAAAGAGATGTTTTCGAATTGTTATCATGTTATTATAGTTTAAACACAAAACATTTTTATATTGATTAATTTCTTTTATAAATTTTTCTGTTTTATGTTAGTTCCAGAACCAAAGATCACGGATAAATTAAATTGTTGTTAATTGGAATGTTTAAGCGTATTTCTTCATGAATTTCAATAAATATTTAAGTTTTGGCATTTCTATATTGTGGATGCATCTGTTGAAATCTCCAATTACTTTTACTGAATGCGTCATCATTCTGGAGATAATATCTTTTAGACACACACTAAGATCTGACACCTCTTTAAATCCATGTATTGCTATTTCAGCCATAACCACGGGAAAAGGAGATGTTTCATAAAGGAACTGTAAATAAATATAGGAATTATTCACTTTCTTATAATTTTAAATTGGTTGGCATATTTGTTTCATTGAGCAACAAATTACTTTCTAATATTATGAGACTTCTACTATTATTTTTATTACAAATTTTATCATGAATAAATTGAATCTTGTTTACTTACCACAGTCCTTTCAAGATCTTGGCTCTCGTGAGAGCAGTTGCCGCCCACTTGTTGTTGTTTCTGACATTCGAATAATTTTGAGGCAGAATATTTCTTGAGGTTTTCCAAAGTTTCGAAGTGTACTTGTAACTTTTCTGTAACAAATATTATGGTTATTAAGGGAATAGAGGTGTTTAGATAAGGACCAAGTTTACGAGTAACGTTTATTAAAAATGTGTTTTCAGATTTTACACAACTGAAAGTACTATTATTAATTTTCTTTATATTTTAACCGTAGTGATGATAACTATTAAGCAACCATCGCTGGCTGTCGAATTGGCTTATTTTAGACTAGTTATACTTAAACCTATAGCAAATATTTTAGATTAACTTAGTAGGATAAAGTGATAAAATCATGTCCAATGTAGACTGAAGTTGAAATAAATTTTATATATATTATTCAAGTTCAAATAAATGTATTTTTCTTTCTTATTTATGAATTTACTTTGATAAACAAAATTACTCTGAATAAATAATAGCAACATATGCATATTGCTAGTATATTGAATAATTTTATGAAAATTACGTTAAACGATGTCAGTGGCACAAATTGTTGAATGGGAATTGTTCAAACACGGATTGTTTTCAATACATCCTGTGTTGTTGCGGTAGCAAAAGCGTGTAAACAAGGAAGAAAATGACAAAATATAACGGTTTCGAATGACAAACAAGCGATTATAAAGGGAAAGTTCCATTTACGAAATTAGGTCATCTCAACTTGTAAGCTCCTTAACAAATTATGTATATATTCTGCAATACTGTAAATTTATTTCGTATTCTGACAGGTTAAAGCATAGTATTTTACCTGGCAAACGTTGTACTCTCTGGTATCCCAATGCAAGACATAATGTTACATTTTCATCTGCCAACTGCAAATTCTCTCCCAACAGTTTCACAATGCTCTCTTTGCAATAAGTGCCGTTCCGAGGTTTACGGTCATGAATTATTACCTTTAATATAAATAAAATTACCTCAAAATTATATATTAAATTTAAAAAATAATATCTTGCTTAGTATGTGTTTGTTAGAGTATATTTGTTAAGCACACTTAAAAATGCGTTAATACATTCAAAAACTATCAAGCTTACATAGAATTTAATAAGAATCCGTTTAACACAAATATATAAAATGCCGGTAGAAATAGAATTATATTACGTGATCAATAATGTGTGCAATTAGAAGGAAAACTTAATAACTATGAATCTGTAAGACTAGTCTTTAGGTCATGTTTTCTAGAGTTACTAAGAGCCAGTTTCCAAGTAAATGGCGCGTTTCTTTTACACCACTTTCCTCCTTATTCTTTCAAATGGACCTCATATTTTGTACTTTCCAACCGTTCCGTTTGTTTTCTAGAGGCAATATTTTAAAAGTCGTTTTCTTGAATTATAGTGGTTTAATGTTTGTTGCAGTACATTATTATATAATTAAGGTTGTGTATCTGTGTTTTATGTTTTTCAATAAAAGTCTTTTAAGGACTTTTATGTTTTAAACGAATTACCTGGAAGTATAGGGATATTTGTTCGAGGTAGACAGTCATGTAATTAATAGCTTTGTCAGCTTCATTTTTCATTAAAAGTTTTATTTGTGACACTAATGTGTCCATGTCCTCTCGGGATTTTTGGGTCCTTGATTGTATGTCGGCTATAAGAGTTCTGTAGCCATTTATAAGATTGTCCTGGAAATCTGTGGTCTGTAAAATTTTGACATTACAATTTCACTAGTGATTTACTTACATATTTTTAAACACATTTAGTAATACTTACTTGTAACGTAATCGCGATAAGAGCGGATGCAACCACATAATAAACTTTATGATTCATTGTTTAGGATTCACTTCACATATCAAATTACAACTATTATTTATATTAATAAACGTTTGTCTAATAACTGAAGATTTATACACGACACATATAAATATTTTTAGATATACAGGATATAAGTGTCTAGACTGTTTAGTTCCTCTTAAATGCTTCCGATTGAGGGACTTTCAAACGACTGCTTGTTTCTTTGGCTGTGTCTTGTTTTCCTTCCAGCCACCGTTTGATTGAGCATTTGTTATGCTAAAGGTGTGATTACACAGTTTGTTAAGACTATTTTATTGACTACATATGCATATCCAGGGTCATTAATTATTACGTTAGTACATTATATAGTTCAGGCTAAAGGTATATCAATCGATTTATATACAATAAGAGGTTTATCTTTTAATAGAATTACAAATATTAAAAATAAGTTAAATGTACATGTGATCATAGCCTTACATTTAGAACTATGACGATGTTTGTTTGTTTATGCCGTAGTTTATACTGCGTTAGATTGTTTTCGTTAATTTCTTTTGATTCCACTTTGAGAATGTTCTTATACACTATTGTTGTCTATGTTCTGACATCACCCTTTTTAGTCATACTGATGATGTGAAGTTTATGAAGTGGTGCATTCTTTAAAGAAATTAAAACGTGATATGCACATGTATATGCGTGTTTAAGAAAATAATGAAGTAGTATACAACGCTGGAAGAGAAACATGCGACATTTTTAAACAGCAGTTAAGTATATTTTTGCATATAAAATTGTTCGCCTGTTTAAAGGAACATGCAAGGTAATTTTCAGAGAAGCATATTTTTGTGATTTTTCATAGTATAAGCGTAATAGGCTATTATTAAGAGCGCTATCTGTTAGAGATAGAGGGAAACGCGTAAACTCGCGCGTAAATTCTTCCAAACAAAGCAACGAGTCGTCAATAGATGACGCTTTCCATAAATAGGGTAAAATATAGTCAGCATATTTATTTTATACATATATTTTGCTTTATTAGTTCGGACGCTCGATTTTTGATCTTATCGATACTTTATTTTAATAAACTATTGTTTTATATTCGTCTTGTAATTGTTATAATATTTTAATACAAAATTGGAAACGTTAGAAAAGGTGATAGAGGTTTTTGGTTAGAAGTGTTCACACTTTAATATTTATTATTAACTTAATTATAAATTTCAATGATAATTCTGACAAATTTTTCAGGTTAGTCAAAAAATTAAATCACTTTCTCCTTATCTTAATTTTAACGATATCAACAAAACTATAGTATAATTTCTCCCCAATCGAAATATTTCGTTCTATTGTTAGGTCAAATATTACCTTAATTCGAATCTGGCAACATTGCCAGAAATATTTTAAAAATAGTAATACTGTGAACAATAATCCTTTCTCATTTAATATGAGATGTCTTTAGTTTGGTGTATTTCTTATATTTTAGTATTATTATGTAAAGTAGTTAATAATGACATTTATGCGGTCATAGCTTGCGTAAAAATCAAATTAAAATACTATATTTATTATGTAATTTGGACCGTTCTGTTTCTTTTGCTTATTGAGTACTGTAGTTTGTCAAAGTTTGTCTTCCATTTATTGCTTTAAGCTATAAGACGTTTGCATAGTTTTGTAACTCATTTTGAACTATATATTTTTCTATATGTAATAAACATTATTAATTATTATAATTATTGCAATAAATGGTGTGTAGTTCTCTACGCGTAAGAGTGTATAAGGTCTTACTTAAACTTGAACTTGTCTTACACAATCCTAATGGTTTTACTTCAAATGATCCGTTTTCCAAATTTTATTTAATAAATATAAAATAACACTATTTATATTGAACATAAGTGAGATACGAAAATTAAAACACTAATAAATGTTTCAGGCAGCCATAAATATACGCAGTATGTTTCTATATTATAATAAGCGTAGTTTTCTTTTCGAAAAAAGATACGTAATCCATAGAAAAAACCTGGATAAAGTTTTATATCCAGATAAATAAATAGCTTGGAAATGACATAGATTATTTTAACCACAAAGTTTGACGGAAAAAGTAAACACGCAAGCAAAGCTGTGGATAATTTATAGTTAATGCATAATATAAATACCAAAGCGGGTGCAACTATTGTATGTTTATTTTGTACATAGAAACTTACAGAGAAGGGGGAAGGATCGATATACGATGGCATTCTTGGCTTGTTTTTTTTTTCTCTTTTATTCCCGAGGTTTCTTTGAGCGTTATCTCGTAAAACATAACAACTGTTACAACAAACGAAGCGCATTACCAAGCGATGTGTTTTCATTGAACTTATATGTTAGAAGTGATAAATGTATCGCTAAAGTTGTTGAAGCTTCTTGTTTGCTTTACTCTTGTACTTAACAGAACGTTTGAAAAATGTTCTATATTTTACATAAACGTGTGCTTTTGTTATTGTATGCCTAACCTTATATAATAATTAATTTTAGGTCTTAATACCAAGACTATAAGCAAGTATTCTGATAAAGTGAGTAATTTTTGGCATATACAAAATGTCAGATAAAATTAATATTCGTTAGTAGACGAAATATAATATTATTTAATATTTGAATTTAAATTTTCAAAAAAACGAATATAATTTAATATAGTGTATCTCTACGAATACAGTTATCTAACTGAAGTCAAGTATTCAATTAGATTTTTTCGTTGACGCAGCTATGTCCGACTGCTCTTCGCACTAATTGAACAATTGGTACACTGGAAGCTTATTGCTGAAATATTCATCTCAGCAAATATTTCGTATGAATCATGAATTAATACTGTAATACTATTCTCTAAAATCAATGTAGATTTGATTTGTATATTCGAAGTCCACTGAAATACGTAACTTCATAGAAAATTAACGTCAAAATTGTGGTTAAAATATTTGTCCAATTATTATGACAGAATATCCACTATTATAAACAAGTTTAGTATTAGCATTTAGCATGACAAGAATAATCAATAAATTAAAAGGATTTAAGTAAAAAGTAATATTTAATATATTTATTCTAAATTAATAACACTTCTAGTTAATATTAATAACACTTCTAGTAAAGTTAAAGAACAAAGCTTTAGTGAGCCTTAAATTTTATCCCGTTAGCAACATTAAGTAAATATGAATTACTATTTTAGATGTGTTTCCATGAAACACATAAAATTTCCGGTCTCCGTAATGGAGTAGCCGTGTATGATATTTTAGACGAAGTTAGTTAATTTATTAGGATTTATGTGCATATATATTAATTTGTGAGAGAGCCACGCATTACGAATATTCCATTCCATATAGAAATGGTTATGTTTGAGTTAGAAAAGTTGTTGAACATTTCAAATACAGTAAAGATAATTGTTGCCAGAGAATTTCCAGACTTCAAGTTATTTTCTATCGAGTGGCAACATTGCGCAACTCTTGCTATGTTCCTTTCAACTTTTCTTTTAGAACCACTTGTGACAATTTTGTCTTAAGATATTTTCGGAGTTTTCCTTTTTGTGTTATGTCACTTAATGCGGATTTCTTTTGGAAATACCAATGGAGTTAAACTTTTATGACTATATATATGACGGTAATATAAAATTTATTATCTCCTGCCGATAGACCGGGAATTATTTGTTTAGTTCTTGACCAGTTCCGGATCTTTATGTGGCTTTTAACCCAGATTCCGTGACCTTTTGCAGGATCATCTCGTAGCTTTAATAAAACCTACTTAATTTAGCTTAAGTTTTATTTCTTCTTAAATAAAATTTGTAAGCCTGTCTCTTTTTTCTTACATATAAAAAACACAAACGACTAACAAGCAAAATTTTAATGTATATAGAATTCAAAGTTTAGGAACACAAAAATGTTTTATTCCTATTAAATAACATCCACAAACAAATCAACATGACGTCACCAAACATTTTGGACCATTAATGTAGGAACTCGACATATAAGTTCGTTTTTTCAGTATTGATATAAAATAATAATGACCAGTTTTGCGAAAGTATTATAGCAATAAGCTTGTATGGAATCGTAATGCAGGGAAATGTGACTCGCCTATGTGAATAATTGGTTCATACAATCCGGAATTTAAAATATTACATTGGACTTTAATATATTCTCTGTGTGTCATTGCCTAAATTGCATTTAAATGTTTATAGACTAACAGTGATTTAGTATTTATCATAGTATAATTCGCTTTTTTATGTACATTAATTTCGATTAGGTTGTGTCATGAAAAATAAAATATTAAGATTTGGATGTAGCAAGTTTCTATGATGATTTTTTAACAAACACAATGTTGTGTTTATGTCAGTTTAAATAGAAAATTCCTTTTAAATCTTGGTATAGAGAATAACCAGTTTAGACTACGATTTAGAAATATTTATTATTGTTATCAAAGTTAAAATAAACTTCTATAACTTAACCTAATTCTGGAATTATTCTATAATAATAGTGAACATAAATACTAACTTGATATTGCCAAGTATAATTTCAGTTTAAGGCTTAAGATACACCACGCTCGTTAGTTAGTTCGGAACAAGTTTCAATAGTTGTTGTTATTATATTGTTGTATTTACAATGATAATTAATATGTTGTTTAAGATACATTACTTTTAACATCATCTTAAAATCTATGAAGGAGAAAAAATCCATCGAAGCTTATGCATGCTTTATAATTAAAGGGATATACATATAATCATTTCATTATACGTTGACATAAAATTTAATTCATATTTTTTGAATGAATGAATATTTTATTACTATATTTAAATCAAAACACTGAGTATTTTAAAGTTAAAATTGATAAATATCGCGTTAAGTGCACCAGTTGTTTTCAGTATGGCACCGGAAATACATATAAAGGTGACTGAACACAGAATTCCGAAATATACAGGGTTTATTTTTGAGCTGATTCATTATAATTTCAACCTCAAAGTGAATTTAAATGTATGGTTACAATCCATTGATTGGTTATGCGTTCCTAAAAAATCCAGTAGACGGATTTTTAAT